CCAGAAGCAGGTATGTTGATGAAAACAAACGTTTGTTTCGCTTTTTGAGGGAAAGAATGAACTTTAGATATAGCAATCGTTTCGCCGTTCATTTTCATGCAAAAACCACCATGTAAATTAGTGAGTGCAAGAAAGAAACAGTTGAGAAACGTCACATCGCTATAGTCTGTCCGGAGACGGTTTATATGCTGTTCGAAAGAGTATTCAATAAGACCACTAACTCTGCAATAACTCTTTCCACCACTGTCTAGAATTTCTTTTCGTTTAGCTTGCTTCCATATTCACCTTTTCATACTGAATATGCGAGGAAGTCCGATGCCGCCCCTAAGCCGTGAGAGATTAAGAGATCGCTTTGTTGCGATGTCTTGTATTCTGAAAGAATACCACTATTTAAACTGGTTTTTGAAAAATAACTGCATAAGTTTTTTGCTTATTCAAAGATGTATTCAAGCTTTGGTTATCGAAATGCGAAGACTAGATGTCTTCATCTCTTTTCTGTCTCTGGTTATTCAAAATATAGCCTCTGGACATTTAATTTTGAAAAGCATAATAGTAAAGATGTTAGAGCAGAATATCGTACAGAGCTGGGGCAGATGTCTGGTTTTGTCGGAAGATATTTCCTCTACATTTCTAGCGACTCAAAAAAAATTCTATCTGCCCATACCTTCGCAATCCATATCAAAATTTCGAAAAGTGATAAATTTTATTCTATTACTATCTCTAAACGCATGAAAAATGTACTCTTTCTTTCTTTTTAGTTCTTACGACAGTATCCAATACAACAGCCCAGCCAAGTAATTAGAACTAGTGGACCTGGAAGTATTTTGCGACGGGAAACGTAGGAAATCTTTGCAATTTTCCAAAAGCGTTTTTGTTTCGTGACAGCGAAAGTTTTCAGCAAGAGAACGGCACTGGAAGATATATTTGCACGGATTTTGTAGCATGCGAAATTCTGCATTTTATCAAAGTGCAATTAAAAAGCAGTTAGACTACATGGCCCATTAAATAATCTTCAGAATGCTTATTCTAGCGTAATGTTTTTGGTTGATTTTAACTCCTATTTTTATGACGGGGCACGATTACTGTGGAGAATTCTGTTTCTGGTGAATGTCTCTTCACACATGGTTGTTACATATCCACATTTCTTTCCATGCATTATGTATCAAATAACTATTTATAGTGCGCCGACTAACGAGGGACCTTTCCCAAGTGATAAATCGCTTTTCCACCGAAACCTAGTGGGTTTTAGGTTATCGATGATGCCGAATCCGAATATCAACATGAGATTTGCTGCAGGCCTTCTAAGTGCTGGTTTCTGGAAAATCAGTCTTTCAGAAACGCTAAAAGGTAACCAAAACCTTTCTTAGCGAGTCATAATTGTAGCCCGCAAATTTCTGATTAAAGTGAGACGTCTCCCGGCTGTAGACGACTTTTCTTTTCAAAGTTATAGAATTTAAAAGAAAAGCCCTAAATGTTCACTGTCAGCTACGGAAATAAGAAATTAGTTTAGGGCTTTTCTCGCAAATTCGATAACTTTGGAAGGAGAGGTTGTGCAGAGATGAGAGATGTGTCATTTTAATCAGAAATTTGCGGGCTATAGTCATACCTTGTTAAGGAAGGCTTTGGTTATCGTTTAGCGTTTCTGAAAGACTGATTTTCCAGAAAACCAGCACTTGAAAGGCTCAGCAGCAGATCTCATGGTGATATTCGGATTCAGCATCATCGATAACCTAAATCTCACTAGGTTTCGGGGGGAAAGCGACTTAGCACTTGGGAAAGATCCCTCGTAAACTTCTCTAGCGTGCTCCATTACGGCTTATTTCATCGTTTCAAAGCGTACTCTATGCACTCAGAAAGAATACTTTTCTAAACTTAGCATTTTTATCTCGACGTGTTTTTATTTGGATGTGTTACCAGTTCAGGTAAGTAAATTTGCGATACTACATTCTTTTGGTGGTATTGTACTTGAATGACATCGAAAATATACTTTTTACATTCAGTTTTTGACGCAGAATATGCGAAATATACTTTCGAAGTTACAAAGTGAAGGCAAAGGGGCTTTTATTTTCTGCGCTACCACCAAGAACTTTCGAATTCAACGTTGAAAACCGTCAAGTTTGATAGAAACGCTGGAAATTTCGCGTAATGTTCATAATTCGATCTTATAAAATATTTAATTGTGCAGTTCTTGTGTTTAACAACCAAAAGGGCTCTGAATTGAGATACTGTTGATTTTCTACTACGGAAAGAATCTCTTTTCACACGTCGTTGTTACACAATCACATTTCTTCCCATGCATGATGTATCAAATAACTATTTGATGCCCCACTATGCTATTCAGCGCATGATCTGTAACAACATATTTACGCTTTAGAACAAGTGTCATCGTCAACTATTAACCAGTGCTTACCATTATCAGCACCATGTTCTACAGGTGGTCAATGTTGTAGCGGAACATGCGAACAAGGATGTAATCAAGACGAGGAGCAAAGTTGTCCAAAAACTTGTCAAACTACAAGCACTCAAGGTATCTCAGAAACGTGATTTGAGAATCTTTATTTTACGAAAAGAGTCTCTTTTCATACGTCGTTGTTACACAATCACATTTCTTCCCATGCATGATGTATCAAATAACTATTTGTACAGTGCCGACTAAACGTCTCTCATTAGCTCAGGATCGAAACGATCCGAAACGCTTTTCTATTCTTGAATAATCCGGAGTAAGTCCTCGGTCTCGGTTGATTTCTACGTTTCTATTGTATTCTAACCATAACCGAAAACGACTGGAACCCACATGTGCGAAACGTTTACCAAGGCAATCAAGCGTAATAAAAGCGCTTTGTTCTACTTTTCTCAAATTTCCACCATGCCACGGAAACCCGAACAGGTTCTCGTTTTCGCCATGCCGTTGTCTGGAAAACGTTTCAAACAACGTTCTCTTCAGTGTACAAATATAAAACGTCCCATTCAGTAACGTTCAGAATGCTTATTTTAACGGGTTAGTCATTGCATATATTTGATTTCGTCAAAGATTTTAAAAAAGATTTTATTTAACCTATACGCAAGTCTAGGTGCGAATTACTACTTTTTTTAACAGAATTGCATTATACTCCAGCCTAAACAATCAAGTCCAAAAACGACTTTGGAACACACTTGTCAAATAGTCTAAAGCGGTAATGAACAGCATTCAAAGACCTTGTTGTACTCCTGTGATTGCACCACAGGACCATACATACTCGAACACTCTCTGGCATCGTTCCGGTACCACAAAACGTCTCAATCGAAGTTCTCTTCATCTGAGTTTCATCTTCTGTGAAATGAGATAGCTCGCCAACAATTTTAGCTAACAATTTTGCATGAAGCCAAATGAACTGAGACATGAACTAGCTGTTATCTTGCAGGATCACAATCAGCTGCGACCAGTCAGGAAACTAGATCTCCTCTGCTACATTCTAATAACCAACGAAACTGGTTTAAATCTCTTCCGTAAAAGGATACCTGAAACAGCGGTTTTCTTTCAGTTGTTGCTTAGTTACGAAGATATAAGCGAGAAATCGTGACAAGAAACATGTAAAGATCTGTTAGACCAGCAATTGTTCTATCCGGTACTGTATGTCATTACTAACGGGTGTTGCGCAGAATTACTGTGAATTACTCTTCGGCATGCAGGACAAACAATAAACATGTGCTGATAAGCATTACGAAGTAACAACTCTTTTCCTTGGTGAAGTAAACTTCACGCCCTTGGGTCGTCAAATCAGGCCTAGCAGTAGTATTAACTGATTGTCAAATCCGCCTGATCGACCATAAGGGAATTGCTTTTTCATATGAACGTTTATTCTTATTCATGTTCCACTATACTATTTAGCGTTATGGTCTTTAACTAAGTATTTACGCTTTAGGACAAGTGTCATCGTCAACTATTAACCAGTGCTTACCATTATCAGCACCATGTTCTACAGGTGGTCAATGTTGTAGTGGAACATGCGAACAAGCATGTAATCAAGACGAGGAGCAAAGTTGTCCAAAAACTTGTCAAACTACAAGCACTCAAGGTAACTCAGAAACGTGATTTGAGAATCTTTATTTTATAGCAACGAACTTAGGCGTTACTTATTTTCGATTTCGTTAAAGATTGTACTTAAGCAGTGAGCAAATCTAGGTGCGAACTGGGACTTTTTTCAACACGGTTGCGTTCTACTCTGATAAGAAAAACTATCTATTTTCCTCTAATAAGCATTAAAAAGTGGAAAAAACCAACAACAAAAGAATGAATATAAGTTCGCCGCATTATAGTGCGAGTCAGACTAGCGGTCACTAATGGCAGTGGCCCGACATGATAGACCAGCGGTTGTTCTATCCGGGCATTACTAACAGGTTTTGCCAGAATTTCTGTGGATTGATGTTTGTTGCTTCGCGGCATTTGATTAACTTGGTAGACGTAGCTCTGTCAAGCTTCTTGAGTAAGTATCGATCGAAGAGATCGAAGCTTTTCATATTATGTTCTATACTCTGCTATCTTCGGAAACTACTGCTTTATTTGAAGCAGTGCATGATTGCCGTAAAAGGAAGTCAGAAAGCTCTATTATGTTCCCGTGTTTTCGCAGTTAATCATGCTTGACATATATTTCTACAGAGATTCAAATATAAAGTGTATTTTCATCGAAGACTAAGCATTTTGTGTAGTTAAAGCAGCTTTTCCTATTGATTACTGTTTTTTTCAGGTTCCACAACAGTTACTACGTCCACTGTTGCGGCTGCCACAACAACGACAACAGGTACGAGTATTGCTATAATACTTTTTCTCTAAGACTTATCTTTATATTGATTTTGGTTAGTTGCTGCTGAGGTGTCTACTACAACTGTTCCAGAAGCAGGTATGTTGATGAAAACAAACGTTTGTTTCGCTTTATGAGGGGAGGAATGAATTATAAATATAGCAAGAGGTTTCTCCAAAATTGCTGAACATTCATTTAATTTAAGTCACCAGAATGATTGGAATCATAAAATTCTAGCACTGGAATCAAACGACTTCAAAAGAACGATAAAGGAGAGTTTGCTTATGGACTTAGTGGAGAAGAAAACGGGGAAGAATGTCTACTCTCAAAAAAGCTTTCAGTTGAAGATCTTTGGATGAATGCTAGTGACACATACTTTTAGTTTGAAATTTAAATTTCTTGGTAGAACGTTCTACACATGGTTTTATTTTTCTTTTGCGTTCTGTGTTTTTGTTCTATTTAAGTGTACGTCAAACTGTACAGCTTTCTTGTATTATTTCTGACTGAGGATGTACTAAGATATTGTACGAAACGTCTCGTAATACATAGTTATGCATTCAATCCTCTGGAATATTTGAAATTTTCTTTTGCTGATTATTTGTGCTCGAAAAACAAGTGATGGAAATCTGTCTTACACGCATAGGAATCATGTGTGTCATTGTCTGTCGAATGGTGTGATAGTAGTAGAATGGCTGTATTATTTGTTCAGCTTTTCTCTGACGACACGCAATGTCACGAGTCCACGCATGCTGGATCCATTTCTAAAACTTGTACACGTGAAAAAGGTATTCGATGTAACCTCAGAAACATGATGCATTAAGAGGTCAATTAACCCCCAATTTACAAAAGACACTTCTGGCTACCTCCTCATATAAAAAATATTTTTGGTTTAAACTTACCAGAAAAATCCGCATCATAACACAGTTACTGACTACACTGATCACTATGCCATCTGACTAGCAACTTCAACATCGACCACTACAAGTAGGTTTGTCTTGTGTAGAAAATACACCAAATACGTCGCTCACAACGCTACCGAATAGCTTTAATCTAAGAAACGAAGGTGAATAAAGAGGCGTGTATTCAGCCGAAAACTAGGCTTCATTTCCAGCTTACAGCTTGACAAGAACATGATTCTGACTGTTTTAATTCCTCTCTACATGTTCTCGTTTTTTGTAGCATCAACAACCACTACGACATCTACGTCAACCACTACCTCAAGTAAGTACGTTTTTCTAGGTTATAGATAAATGGGCTAGTAGAGGACAGCGTAATGTGCCACATCTGGTGGATGATATATATTTGTCACTTCGCCACCTATTGTCCGAAACAGCTGACTTAGTACAACTAGATCACAGAACAAGAACTTTGGACAGACTGAAATGACAGAAAAGATCTCTGTCGAAAACTTGGTTTTCTAGAAAAGTGTAGGTTCACGACACTGCTTCAGCTAAACGCTTTTAACTTGCAGAAGGAAATCCTCGATAAAGCTTAAAATTCTTGAGTACATAGCTAACTTTGGATGTTGTACGACATAGACAAAGTGTGAGGTCTTCTTTTAACATGATCATTCTATACAAATCTGAAGCTCAGAGATGAAAGGATTTCAGATCCGAAGAATACTTTAGAATATGTTTATAATTCGTTTACTTTTCACCGAAATATTTGCATTTTTCTTTTGCTGAATATTTGTGCTCGAAAAACCTTACTGTACAATTCCCACTCAGATATGTTCAGTCAGAAATTCAGACTATTTTTGATTTTTCTCAGAAATAGCCTAAGATACTGAAAGAATCATCGAAAGAAAAAGGTATATTAGCTGAGGTATATGACTACCAGTTTCGCCTAATATACTGAGATGACTCTCTGCGGTATGCGTAGTTTTGAAGGTTGTGTGTCTGTGTAATTTCTCGGATTTAGATTTTGCGCCTACGGGTGCCATGTTGGCTGCACGATTCTTGCATACGGCTTCCGTATTAGCAGATGGGAAGGTGTTGATTTGTGGTGGTTCTGGCGCAGGGGGTGCTTTGTATAGTGCGGAGTTGTATGATCCAGCAACTGGAGTTTGGAGTTCTACTGGTAGAATGAATATATCGCGATTGGGACACACAGCGTCTGTGTTGTCAAACGGGAAGGTTTTAGTTAGTGGTGGAATTGACGCTGGTGTGGTTTTAAATACTGCCGAGTTGTATGATCCAATAACAGGGACGTTTAATTCTACTGGAAGCATGATTGCTGCACGATATTATCATACAGCGTCCGTATTAGCAAATGGAAAGGTGTTGGTTGTTGGTGGAGTGGGTGCACAGGATATTTTGAATGGTTGCGAGTTGTATGATCCAGACACAGGACTTTGGAATATCACTGGTAGCATCACGACTGCACGAGGCCTTCAAACAGCGTCGATAATACTGAATGTAACAGTGTTAGTTACTGGTGGAATGGATTATGGTACGCTAAATACTGCCGAGTTGTATGATCAAAACGCTGGAACTTGGAATCCTACTGGTAGTTTGTTGGTTGGAGTGGAATACCATACAATGTCCGTACTAGCAAATGGAACAGTATTAGTTAGTGGTGGACTCAATGCTCGTGGTAGCGCTGTGGATAGTACCGAGTTGTACGATCCAGTCACAGGATTTTGGAATTCCACTGGTAGCATGAGTATTGCACGAGCAATGCACACAGCGTCAGTGTTGGCAAACGGAAAGGTTTTAGTTACTGGTGGATTCGTCGATTATGCTACTATTGCTGTGAATAGCAGCGAGTTGTACGATCCAGAAACGGGAACTTGGAATTCCGCTGGTAGGATGACAGGTCGACGACGATGGCACATGGCGTCCATTTTAACAAATGGAAACGTATTACTGAGTGGTGGACAGGATGAAGCCTATAATTCTTTAAATACTGCCGAGTTGTATGGTTTATGAACTCGATGAAATATTTTTACTAGACTCAAAAACTTAATTCTGTAAAATACAGATGCTCGGATGAACACGTCTACTCACAAGGAATAGATTTTTGTAGAGTATGTTTATAATTCGTTTACTTCTGCCGAAAAATTTGAATTTTTCTTTTGCTGAATATTTGTGCTCGAAAAACCTTACTGTACAATTCCCACTCAGATATGTTCAGTCAGAAATTCAGACTATTTTTGATTTTTCTCAGAAATAGCCTAAGATACTGACCTGACCTTTTACGAAAAGCGTTACTGTAGAAGTTCTACTTACTCTAAACGTTTCGATCAAAATATTCAATATTAGCGGAGGTAGGGAAGAAACAGTTTTCTGAATTTCCACTGAGCAAAGTGTGTAAAAGTTATGTTCTTAGAAACATGTGTTTCTGTCTCTGGAAAGAATCATCAGAAGGAAAAGTCATTTTAGCTGAGGTATATGACTACCAATTTCGTTCTGCTGAAGTTGTTTTTGCCCAAGTTAAAATCTCATTTTGAAAAAAGTCGCCTTTTATATCCGTAGTGGAAAAGGTTGCTGGAACTTCATTTACTGTCGATAACAACAGATGGACGTTTTTCAAGGTTATAGACAAATGAGCTAGTAGAGGATAGGGTAATGTGGCACATTTGGTGGATGATATATATTTGTGGAACACCAGATTTTTAGATTAACTGTCTTTAGTAGATCGTATAATAAGATTGCGAGAGAAGAGAGGCAAATGTATGAACATATCTGAGTCAGAAATGTCCAGTAAGGTTTTTCAAGCACAAATATTCAGCAAAAGACAAAATTCAAATATTTCGGCGAAAAATAAATTATAAACATATGCTACAGAAATCGATTGCTTGTGAGTAGACCTATTCATCCGAGTACCTATATGTTAGAGAATTAAGTTTTATGTTTTTGAGTCTAGTAAAAATATTTCATCGTGTTCATAAACCATACAACTCGGCACAATTAAAATAATTACCGGCATCAGCCAGTCCACCACTAAGTAACACTTTTCCGCAATATGCGATCGTCGTGGAGTTGGCAGATGAACGTTTTTCTAGTTTATAGACAAATGACCTAGTAGAAGACAGGGTAATGTGGCACATTTGGTGGATGATATATATTTGTGGAACACCAGATCTTTAGATTAACTGTCTTTAGTAGATCGTATACTAAGATTGCGAGAGAAGAGACGAAAATGTTGAATTACTACACATGTGGATGGAGGCTAGTAGAGCCCCGTTTGTGATTTTCGGTCTAGATTTGCGATTAGGAAAAGATCTTTACAAAAGTTGGTGAGACTTTTCGAGTTTTGGAGTTTTGATACTGGCCATTAATTTGAAAAGTAAGATATCAAGTATCCGGCTCTTACAAGAGAACGTGTTCGCTGAACTCTTCCATTTCATT